GGATTGCTTCAAGGAAATTATTCCAACCGAAGGTTTGGGAGTACTATGATTCACCTTCGAGCTTTACCTTTAATTTCAGCTATATAGAAGACGGCAACCAAACATAACTTTCTTGGATGTTTCATCGTGTTTCTCAGTTTCCAAAATGATCCACTGATGCCAACAAGAGAGATATTCCAGAAAACAACTGAAGGAACTACGAAAAAGAAAGCCGCCTACGATCAGTTGGGTGTTGCCCTTCACTTCGTATCCACTACTTCATCTAACTTCGTTTTTCCAAAAGAAATGACCAAGTTCGCGGTTACTGCTTCCATTATCAACAAAATAGGGATATAGCTTTAACACTCAGTATGAATTTAACGTTGAAAGTGAAACTTTACTGACTTAAATTGCCACTCATTCATAGTTTCCACGCGATCTTAAACAATGGCCTTCGAAAACCATCTTTGAGATCGAGATCTCAAATACACAATCGGCTCAGGGACTTGTACAAGCAAAAGATGTGACCTGATTACCCAATTTGTTAAAGGAGTAGGTGGAGAGTGTTGGTTGAAATGGATTATCGCCGGTTGCTTTTCTAGGTTGCAAAACGTGGAGGAAAGACAAGTCATGAAAGGTTAGAGAAAAGAACTTGGGCCACATTGGTTAGAGAAGAACGTATTCTCTCTCATACTGATAGAAACTATGATGTTTCACAACAAACAAATTAAACGACATTGACTAAAAAAGGAACGTGTCATGTGCAACACTTTAATTTATTGCAAGAGGCGTCTTCATTTTCTCGCCGCCATGTTGCCGTCAGAAAGATTATTCGAGAAGCCACTCATAGGCTGTTCGAATTCTTGTTCCCAGTCTCAGAAATGTCCCACTTCTTTCGCTTCGCCTGGCGTTCGCGCCTTTCATTTCTTATTTCGTCCTTGCCCGATTGCCGGCTGAGGATGGAGCAGAGAGCACAACGCCGATAATTCATTTCTAAGGTGAGATTGAAATTTGCCACCAAATCACAAGTTTTCATCGAATTTCTTAAATTCAGATTAGGTTTCTACATTTTGACACCCTCATTATGTAGACATACTCTCCCTTGATTCGCGACTCGATTAAATCTCATTTTTCATGCCTTGAGAGAGAGCCAGTTGGCAAAACCACATCGTAATAAGTCAAAAGAGATCACATCAATTTTAAGTTAGGCCGAGAGTGATCAATTTTTGCGAGAAAGTTCAATGCCGAGATCGCGAACGCAACTTGTTGATATCTGACCTCAAAAAACGCACACATTCGGCTTTGCAAATATCACAGAGCTACACCAATTATGAGTTTCCTCATGGCTAAACGCGTAGCTGACCTACTGAAAGAAAACCACTTGTATAGGGCTTGAGTACAGCGAAAGCAAATGATTTATGTGAATAGATGTTATGTTGCAAGCTGTAAAAAAAAAAACACTGATTCTGGTATTGTTTTAGGTTCTTGGTCATATTTTCAATGGCATCTTCGCCATCATCGGTTAGTGTCTCAGCGATTCCTGAGATCCTTTCAAACGTGCAGGTAGGTCGGTAAGACATGTATTCTTTGAATGAATTAGTTTTGAAAATCAATCAATTGTGCAGAATTTTTTCGACATAAATCCTTTTACTTTTAAGGTTTCAAGAATTTGATTATTTAGCCTAGTGTTTTCCCTGTGCATCAGCAATAAAAGATTAAACTGCACCTCAGCTCAAAAAGTAGATGGTGCTCATGTGAGACTTACGTGGAAGGTTACGAAATCTGCTCACTAATGCATGTTCATCTATTTTTTCAAAGTATCGCAGAGGTCAGTGGTTCGAATTCCGTACAGGCCTGATTTTTCTCAGGTCTGATTTTTGCTATTGCATAAATAGCGCTCTCTACTGCGAGGATCGTGCATCATACGGTAAAAACAGGATAGTTCAGGGATCCCACATTCAGAGGATAGAGGTTTTAGACAGAGTGTTAGGTTAGTCCTTCTTACTTAACACTGGTTTATTCTGTGAGTCCAACTTATCAGATATAATAATATACACATCAGTGCTCTGAAAAGATCCATTTAAAAGCATGAGTCCAAAGAAAAGGAAAAGTTGATATAGATCAAGATTTCAATTTTGGTTTTCCTTCCCTTATCTTTCATGTTCTTTTCTTTCAGAACCAGAATTGAAGATGATAAAAAGATGAAGATAGAAGCTTAGCATAGACTATTAGAATTAGAGAATTGATACTAGGCGAGTGGGGAAACATGACTAATTATTTATTATTATTTTAATTCATTATTTATTAATCAAACCCTCACCCTAAAGAGGCCAACCAAATAAAGCTCTGTGACAATCAATTGATTCGTGCCACGCCATACGTTGAGTTCTGAGAGGCTACCTTTACAGTTTGATGTAATTTATTATAACTTGTAGACTTTCTCAAAGTCGCTCGTGCTCACGGCTCGCTCGCGCTCAAAAGCGCGACTTGTGAGCAAGTCTACATAATGACCCCACTTGATATTATGTCCAGTGGCCTTGATGTGGTCGGCAATGGCTGAAGCATTGAAGGCCCTCGCTAAAAATGACAATACTTCAGCCATTGCCGACCACTTCAAGGCCACTGGACATAATATCAAGTGGGATCATTTTGATATTTTGGCAAAAGGCAAAACAGACTACCATTGTAAAATCAAAAAGTCTACATAACCTGGTGTAGTTCAGGGAGGTTTGATGTACTAAGGTGAAGTGTGATATAGTCTGGTGTAATTTGGTGTAGTGTGGTTGATGTGTATATATAGCAAGGTGTAGTTTTATAAAGTTAAGTACAGTCAATGTTCTCTGGGGTAGTCACTTGTAGCCGGTCTACTTTGATAAGTTGGGTGTGTTTCGTGGAGTTTGATGAAGGAAATGTATTTTTTCGTATTTTTATCAATCAGGTATGGGAAATACACGAGACCTTGACTTTTACAATCCGAAATATAAGTGATTACTGTTTCATTTTATTCTTATTGTAATAAGACTAATAAAAGCTACAATGTCTTAGCGTGCGATTTCTTTGTAAATTTCACAGGCTGAAAACAAAGTATCAGGAATATAAACCGAAGGGACACGAGTAACTGGATACCACAGAGTTTTGTAAAATGGGTTTTTAAATTAAGCTGTGTATGTGTATATAAAATACTTTTAACGTAAAAAGCCTTATCGTCGAATCAGAGAGTGCTCTACAATCATAGAGCTTTGTAAACAATTGTATAGGAAAATAAAAATTAAAACTTTGGACTAAAACTTCGCACTACAAATCTGTTTCGAAAGGGTTAAAACGTCCTCTCTCGTCAGGTGCATTTAAGGTTTATTTAAGTTTTATCAGATTAAAGCGTGATTCATGTTATATTTTGTTCCTGAAAATTAAACAAAAACATCAACAAATGGTTCAATCTTAAGCTTGTATACAACTTTAAAAAGTAAAAGACAGTATGAGTAAAAAGGGAGAATCGATTGTTTACAAATCCTTGCAATTTTGACAAGTGGTCACATCAACTAATATAATAGAGAGGTCAGGAGAATACTCGCGTTGCCTAGCAACACGTTTCCTCGAAACCGTCTACATTGTTCCCGGTCACATTTAGATCTTCCTCTTCTCCTCGTTTAGCTCCAACGTTGCACAGAGCACCTAGCACAGAGCAAAACGACTTCTTAGCATTTCTTCGTCAGACGATGCTTCTTTTGATGCAGCATTTTGCCTACTAGTCTTCTTCGCTCTCTTCATTTCTTCGCGTTTCTTTTCACTCGCCATCTTTTCTGACAGGCCACTGGTTACCGCAAGATAAAGTTTGCGAAACAAACGAAACAAGCTGAAATTTGCGAAAAAAATGCTCCGGTTGTTGACCTAGAAAAAGAAGACACGTTCAGAAGTTTTCCTCAAGTATTTTCAAGAACTCCCGGGGGTTGGAAAAAAAAAAGAAAGGATTTTGATTGGCATTCCCATATGTGCCACAGTCGACAACAGTCAGTAATTAGTGCTGTACTAAGTCATTTGAGAACCAATTTTCCCCCTCTCACGACACGTGAAAACTTACATCGATCTCACCTTCTGAGTCAACAACATCAATTAAAGTTTGCTTCACTATTAGTTCTTTGGTGAAGTATGCATTATATACCTATATAAAATGAGATTCATATGAAACAAGGACAAAAGCTGAAAAGCTGTCGTTCGAAGCTAAGCGTGATATATTCATTTATTTATTTCTAAGCGTTCAAGCATAAGATCAACAATTGGTTAACTTGTCTACAATATATTTAATAAAAATAGCACGAGTCATAGCTGTTTTAATGATCAGTAAACATAACCAGTAACTAACACAAAAATATATTTGGGCATGGAACATTCAAGGTTTTTAATAATACTTACATGACAAGAACAAAACATACAACTCTTATATTCTAGAATTTCTGTACTAGTATAAATTAACATTTTGATTGACTATGAAGTAAACCTGCCTTAGTTGCTTATCTATTATGTGACGGATAAAACCATAATAAGTCGTCATGGTATATTTTCGGTTTTGGATAAAAACTGAGGGTTGCACGTTGAACTCTTCGCTAATCAGTGCTATCCTTTTAGCGACTGGGGATATTTGCAAGTGTCAATTGAAAGTANTCCAGAAATCCTGTCAAACGTGCAGGTAAGCCATATTCTCCTTCAACGCCTTAGTTGTGAAAATCAATCAATTATGCAGAATTTCGACATTCATCCCTTTATACTTTAAAGGTTCCAAGAATGTAATTATTTAGGCCCATGTTTAACCTATGCATTAAGAATAAAATATTGAAGTGCACCTCAGCTCAAAAAGCAGATGTTCTCCATATAAGAGGTATATGTGAAAGGTTACGAAGTCCGCTCACTAATGCATGTTCATCTATTTGTTTTAAAAAACAGGTTAACCAGAGTTCTAGGTAAGTCCCTCTTACTAAATACTCATTTTTTCTGTAAGTGCAACTTATCAGGTGTATTAATATACGCCTCAATGCTTTAAAAAGATCAATTTAAAAGCATGCAACCAAAGAAAAAGAAAAGTTGATATAGATTTTAATTTTTGTTTTCCTTTCCTTTCTTCTTTTATGTTATTTTCTTTCAGCGACAGGAAAATGAAGATAAAAGTCTTAGTACAGGCTGTAAGAATAAGGGAGTGGATAGTAGCTCAGGTGGGTAGGGAAACATGACTTAGAAATATTACTTGGTCTTAGGACCACATTTTATTTATCAAACCCTCCCTGGCAATTATCAATTAGAGGCACAATTATGATGATAAAACTGAGTAACAGCTGAAATCTCTAATTTGTCCCACTGCACAAAGCCACCCTCAAGAGTCCAACTAAATAGAGCTGTGTGACAATCAATTCATTCGTACTAACATATGTTAAGTTCTGAGAGGCTACCCTAACAGTCTGGTGTAATCTACCATAACTTTTTGCCGTTCAGGGGGGGTTGATGTAGTACGGTGAGGTGTGGAGTGGTTTGGTGTAACTTGGTGTAGTGTGGTTGATGTAGTTTGGTGCTCTTGCTGTTATGGGTATAGTTAGGTGCAGTTTGATGGAGTTAAGTACAGTCAGTGTACTTTTGGGTAGTAATAGTCGTAGCTGATGTACTTTGATGAGTTTGGAGTGGTTGGTGTAGTTTCGTGAAGGTGGCGTAGCTTTTTATCAATCAGTTATGAAAAGACACCAGACCTTGACTTTTACAAGCAGAAATATACGTGATTACTGTTTCATTCTATTTTTATAGTAATAAGACTGATTAAACCTTTATTTTCTTAGTGTGCGATTTCTTGATTTTAATTCGCAGGGATATGAGTAATTGGAACGCATGGAGTTTTCTACGATGGATTTTTAAAATTAAACTGTGTATATAAAATATTTTGAAGGATTGGATTTTAAATTTCCAATTAGAATGTAAAAATTAAAGGTTTATTAAATTAAAGCGTGATTCAAATATTATTTTCTTCCTCTNTGAAGCCGCTTTGAAATCACTGAATCATAATGTTCCAGGCGTCATAAACTGACAAATGATTTCTTGGGAGGGTGGGAACCCACTCTTGTAGCCCCTTGTGAAAATTAATAGGACTGAATATTCCTTTAACATTTCTCTATAGATTTGAGAAAGAGCGCGTAGATAATCTGTTAAAAATGCGTGATTCAGAAGATTTTTTTTACTTATCTCTTGTCTTGTTATTAACTACATTTTGCCCCTCCCTTGAAAGAAAGAAAAAATTGCCTTGAGCCAATTTCATTAAGTCAGTGGCTTATTTAAAAACAAGAAGATGCGTCAAGTAATACAACTTGAGTACCCGTTAACGTTCTGATTGAACCAGCTTTGGGCTATCCGGGTTTTGCATGAAATTTCTACCTTATCAACGACAACAAACCAACAGATGGTAACTACAAGATGACTGCTGAAACAGAAGGTTCAAGTGAACCGGTTATTTTAGCCACAGCAGGGTATGACCATGCTATTAAATTCTGGCAAGCTCATAGTGGAATATGTCATCGCACTGTTCAGCATCCAGACTCGGTATCCTTTGCATTTGTAAAATTTAGCTTGCTGCAAATTAAGCAAAAACAAAAAAAAAAACATCTTACTTGCACGGTGTTTATCGAAGGAAACAAAACCTGAGAACCTGAAAAACTTGAGAATATACCCACACAATTAATTAGGTAGAGAGGCTCACAACATATCTTGAAATTATTTTCATTGAAACACAGACACAATTCTAAGAGACGCAAACTTGAGTTTAAGATAACGGAAGGTTTAACCATATAACTCCCAAGAATTTATTGTTACCTCTCCTCTTTAGCTGCAACACATTTCCTGGTAAAACTTTAAAGATATAATTTAATGTTTGATCAAGATAACAACTGAGTCTGAGTATTCTCATTACCTGTTTGTCATGACTCCATTATCAAGGAAAATATAAAAGATCATGCAAGTTGCAATATATAAAGCGTTTTTGGCGTGAATAATTAACAAAAGAGGGTGCGAAGATCATAAAAATATTATAAGAAATACTTTCGCAGAAATGGAGTCTGATTGCACGTTGAGATTTGGTTTTAACGTTCTTATAAAAAGCATTTCGTATTGTGGTGAATTTTGATTTATTTTTAATTTCATTTCCCATTACTTCCTACAAAGTGGCCTTATGATTGTTTTATGGTGGTGAATTTTGTTACAGATTTCAACTGTACTTACTTCATTGTTGTACTTGTAAATGTTGAAATCTTTAACTCTATTGTATTAGCAAGTCAATGCAATGCAGATCACACCAGACAGACAGTTATTAGCTGCTGCAGGTAACTTGCTCTTGACTTCTGAGTGGAAAAAAATTTTTATCTAGAATGATCAACCTTGTTACTTTGAAGGTTGAGCAGAAGGTGCTTCACTAGATTATGACCATGACTCTTATAAAAAGAAAGAGCATTCTAACTGGGTATTGGTAACTATAGAAATGTTTTAAATTCACATTAACATTTTGTTTTTATCTGTTTTTTACCTCAGGATATCAACATATACGCATGTATGACATCAATTCAAACAATCCTAGTGCTGTAAGTCATTAAGCCCATGAAGCTTGCTATTATTTTGAATTTATAAATATAAACCATTTATACCGCAGGAAAATTGCAAGAAAACCTTGCACCACATTTTCTTTAAGGCTTGAGGCTAAAAGTACCTATGGCTTCAAAACATTAAAACCACTGGTCAATATCCACCCTAAATGATATGGTATGCATATTTTACACTGGCAAAAAATAATAGGGGTCTATACTCCTTTCTTGGTGGGTCCAATTACCAATTTTTTTCTGCCATGTTGATGTTCTTTTACTAATTAAACATATCTGGTTGATTTACACTCAACCCTCAGTCAGCTGTTGTCCACAGAAATGTTATCATTCATTAAATATTCAATACTCATTAAGGGATGCTGACAGCTAATAATGGTAATTCAATCTGAGCTTGTTTAAACTTTGCATTAAAGTTTGAAGGACTCATTTATAAAATGAGTTCCTCAGACTTTTTCATCTTCTGTAACATTTTTAGGGTTAGACTTAACCTCAAGCTGACTTTTCAAAGGACATTCCCAATTCTTACTACCAGTTAACAGGTTTATAATTTCATTTCAACATTTAAATTTTTGGGATTGCTTTGATAACCCTGGGAATTTTAAGTGTGGGAAAGAAGATTTCCTGGTGTTTCTCTATACAATAGTTTTTATAATCTTGATTCTGTTTAAGGTTGTGAATTATGATGGTGTATCCAAGAATGTGACTGCTGTTGGGTTTCATGAGGATGGTAAGTGGATGTTCACTGGAGGAGAAGACTGTTCTGCCAGAATATGGGACTTGAGGTATGTCTGGACATAGACTGCACAAAGTATCAGCACAGCTGAATATTGGTCAGTGAAGATCCATTTTTGCATTTTTTTTGTGTAAACATCATTAAGAATTAAAAAAAATCTAGCTTAAATTTACTTTGAGTTATGGCTTCAACTTAATAGCCATGCATTTGTTTTTTGTTGTATCTCAGGTCTCATAATTTACAGTGTCAAAGAGTGTTTCAAGTGAATGCTCCAGTAAACTGTGTTTGCCTTCATCCAAATCAGGTAACTAAACTTTGAGGAAAGAAATAAAAGAACACACACCATGATGATAACCTGTCATAACCTGTAATTTATCATTTTAGGGTGAGCTTATTGTTGGCGATCAAAGTGGTGCAATTCACATGTGGGATCTTAAGACGGATCACAATGAGCAGTTGGTGAGGAGTTTTGTGCCAGTAATGTTGTTTCATTTTTTTGTGTTTGTCTTTTAGGTTAGTGACTTAAATATTTTCATGACAAACCTAGTGATTACTAAATGGTAATTTTCTGTGGAGTTCAAAAGTTTACATTGCAAGTTTCTTGAGTGAGTTGTCTTAGAGTCAGGTTTGTTTGTGTGGTGTAGATTCCTGAACAAGATGCCTCCATCTTGTCGATCAGCATTGATCGAGAAGCATCCTACATGGCTGCTGTCAATAATCAGGTAATAAACATTTACATAATTATTTTCATTTTGATAAATTTACCACAGAGTGGTTGTCATAAATGCTCTGCTTTGAAATCATTCGATAAAGCAAGTTCCTGTCCTTCTTTCTCTGCTAAAATCATCCCACAAATAATTTAGTCAATAGTCGATCAGTTCATATAAGTAATTCCTTTGAGTGTTTGTTTGATCTTTTGTTGTTGTTGATTTTTCAGGGGAACTGCTATGTTTGGAGCTTAACTGGAGGTACAAAAGATGATCCAACTATGCTGCACCCCAGAACAAAAATTCGTGAGGCACATAAAAGAGCAGCATTGAAGTGCCTTTTTAGTCCAGACTCTTGGTAAGTCTTCCAAAGGTCTCCTTTGGGTTAACAATAATTGTGTCCCAAAAGCTTGGTCTGTTAGACTGGTTGACCACTTTCCTTGCAATTGACTCTATAAAATGGTCATTTGTCATTTGTATTAACTCTTTCACTCTTAATATCCAGTCATCAATTCTCTGTACTGTCTGCCAGACATTCTCTATAAACTTAACTATGATTATTTGATAATAAAGCATCTCATTGTCATTTTTTTTTCCTTCTGGTGATCTTTCTGTGTGTTGAAATTTTATTTATTTTGAAAGCAGAAATCTTTTGGTTTAATACTTAAGGTTTAAGTCCAAAACTCTTTATTGAACTTGCCAAACTTTATTCATCTGGTTTGCTAGCTTTCTAGCCACAACATCTGCAGACACAACGGTAAAAATTTGGCAGACTGCAGATTTCTCCCTTGAAAAAACTCTTAAAGAAGCCAATCAACGATGGGTTTGGGATTGTGCCTTCTCCGAGGATTCGCAATACCTTATCACAGGTAAGAAAATCCTGTTCATTGTACTTCTCTATGTCTGTCCATAACGGAAGTTAAAGTGTTTGTTTTGCATCAGCATGTAATGCATATTGGAAGGACTTTATTGGGGGACTTGCAAAATTGTGAACACTTTTATTTAACTCACTTTACGTATGATGCACGATCCTCGCAGTAGAGAGCGCTATTTATGCAATAGCGAAAATGAGACCTGAAAAAAATCAGGCCTGTATGGAATTCGAACCACTGACCTCTACGATACTAGTGCAGCACTCTACCAATTGAGCTAACAAGCCAACTGGGAGCAGACCGTTAAGTTGATTCATAATAAATCTGTGATGATAATAGTGCTCTCTACTGAGAGGATCATGCATCATACGTATCTATAACCGCAGTTCAAAATATATGAACTTCATATATTCATCGTATCTTAATTCACTTTGTTCATGTATATACTTGTATTCTTTGACCTTAATCTGCAAAAATCTGGAGAGGAACCAAGCAGCTGTCTTGTCACCATTCCCATTGTCTCAGACTGATGCATGGCCTATTTAGCTATAATGTTTAGACTATGCTATCTAATGGTAATTACCAAGGTTTAAAGACTGTTGTACAGTAATAGTATTACAGTTATTATTATTACATAGTAAATGGTGTTTGTATTCTTGCCAGCATCCTCTGATAACATGGCTCGCTTGTGGAATCTTGATCAAGGGGAGGTGGTTCGAGAGTACAGTGGACATCAGAAGGCTGTGGTTGCTCTTGCATTCAGAGATGCTCATGCTGTTTGATAATGAATTGAATGAAGAGTAAACTAAATATAAAATAGTAAACAAATTGTAACACTCATTTTGGTTTCCTTTAGTCAAGAGAGAGTGCCACGAGGTCCTGGGGTGAATTAGAGCCAGGATTTGATTTGTATACTGATTTCTCTATCCTGAGCTTGGCTGTATTAACCAGCTTAACTTTACATTGTTTATTTTTTCTATAATTTCTGTCCAATCAAAAGTTCAACAAAAATTTATTTAGATTTTATTAATGTGTAATTGTTTATTGAAAAACCTGTCGGCAACAACTGAATAAGACTGCTAACTCATTTAATTTTGAAAATGAACAGCCATTTCACCCCTTACTTGGTGAAAGCTGAAGAAAGACTCATTTTAAATTATTATTAATACTAATACTTAATTGAGGAAATTAAAACAATGGATTTGTAGTGCTTAGAGGGTGTCACACAGATTGCTTGAACCTGCAGTGCTATCACTAAACCTTCTGTTGAGAGCCTCCTCAAACTATCATGTAAAAATTTATTTATTTCTATCAAATTACTTGCTGACTGAGGGGTACCGGGCCAGTTGAGTCTCATTGACCTATTCCCCTGCCCACCCTCCCTAACAACGTTCGCTGCTACTACTAGCCTCGTTCTTGTGCGTGTGGGCCGGGCAGGAAGGGAAAGGGACATTTCTATCGCATCGTATAAGTATGCAACCGGTTTTCTACCCATTTTAGTCCTGAACCAATTGTCCTCGAGGATATACACTGTAAATATTGTGTCCTCAATTCATTTTTCTATGGTGGAAGTCTATCCTTTTCTCTGAGAAACTAAAGGTGAGAAGCTCACTGTCTCGGCCAAGGACTCGACCCTACAGAAAAAGCCTGGGAGAATTCTACATTCATAGTGACTATGCCGTAATTACTACTTCCACGTTGCGTTGATTCCCAGCATTTTCCTGAGAAGAAAGGACTTGTACATGAAGCATAATCTGTTATTATCGCATAAGAGATGTGTTTTGGTCAACTGGGTTATTCTGGAAGAGATTGGTGGTAAATGACAGTTGAAACACGACAGTATAGCGACGTGCATACGTAGACCTTGAAATCTTTGATAATGGTGAGTAAACTCTCTTTTCATCGTCATCAGGTCTTGGAAAATGTAGACGATTACGGATTTAATAAGCCTCGACTTAAAATGGCCAATTTCTTGTGGTTTGTATACTGTGAGATGCGATGGCTTGATGGCGTGATCCATCTACTTTCACATTTTACGCACATCTATTATGTGTTCATAATCAAAATTGGATACAGGAAAAGTAAGCACTATTTAACAATAAGTCTATAAAAACTAATCTCTTTATTGTGGGAAAAGTGATGCCTTACCATTTGTTCATTTTTCTATGTATTGAATGAGCTCGTGATGTACGTGTTACCTCAAAGCCTATCTTAATGGATGGGGCGAAGATCTGTTGGTTGGCCTGTTTCTTGTCCAAATATGGTCACAGTTCACTCAATATCTGTCATCTTTATATCTGTGATATATCATGCGGATCAGATGATCTGTGAGTCATGGCAAAGAAACTACCAAAAGTTTTTCTTAAAAGACAAAAGTATGTTCCAATTTGTTTGCCCACTTGGTTTATCACAAACTTTTTTTGTGAATGAGTATAATAATTTAAACCTACTCCTTGAGAAAGGAAGGGGAAAGGAGAGGCCAAGCAAGCTTATTTTACTGGAACCCTCAGCAGTTTTCTCAGCATTCATGACTAGGAGTGTTAGTCCTCTTTGTCATTCCCTCTGACAAAGGGCCTAATGCTCAAAACATCAGCTTAAGAAACACACTCAACAGTAGCCAATTTACATCATTTACATTGACAACTCAATTGATAAAACCAAGTTATCTTTTAATACTTTCCACCAATGCAGCACCACCATTTCCATAGAAATTTATCTCCTGTGTTCCGTAAACAATTTGTTAGGTTTCCCTTCTTCTTTGCTGCTAGCCATTTATTGTCCTATGTGAAGAGCTTCAACAAGAACTAGTAGCCCTTTCAAGAACATACTATCATGATGAGAATCTAGTCCAGGTTCATACCCAGACCTCTTTCAATACATTTTACCTGTTCATCTGGTATCTGGTATGGTAATTATAAGGATAGCTTGCCAGAATTTTTTCATTTTGTATGCCAACCATTGGTGATTATCCTGAAAGTGCTTGGGGTTTTCATAGTGGATACAACATTTAATCCATGTTCATACTAGAACTGAAAGATGGCTGATGATGGTGACGAAATTTCTTAAGATTCCCTAAAGATTCCTTTTTTTTTCTCAGTCTTCAGATGCAGCATCCCTTCATGCCTTAGAGATGCTTATGAATGAATTTTTTTCTTCTTGTACGGACAACAATCGGAAAAGAGAAATAGGTATTTGACTTAATTAAGTGAACTAGTATACTTACTGGCAAATGAAAGGGATGCGTGGAATAAAGCCCCACATGACTTTTGTCGTGTCATTAACTTCCCCCTGTATTTCATAAGGGAATGAAAGATAATTTTACAGGACAGTCAATCACTCCTGAGTCTACTAGGATTTTCTTAGTGCTTTTTCCATGCACCCTTTTAAAGTGGTTATAATTTGATGTGAATCTCCTCAAATTATTGGGTTAATTGTATTTTAATATTTTTGCATTATGATCATTATAATTGTAAACTGCAAATCCTTGACTTACAGTTTTGAACAGTAATGGTTTACTTTAAAAAAAAATTGGAAAAGACAAACTTCACTTCCTCTCAATTTCTCATAAATCTGTTCTTTTAATTATAAATGTGTTTTTTATGTATGTCATGGCTGGGTGAACAAAGAAGGTTTTCAGAAAACCTTCTAAATTGCAGAGCCGAGAATGGGCTCCAAATATTCAAATGCCCAAGATTTAGTGAAATTTAATGAAATAATAATTCCATATGCACTTGTTGGATACAAGATTGGTGATTAGCCATATCCGAGGCATCCTCATGGAATAATTATTGAATAATCAATGGGTATGAATTTAATATTATAATATTTTTTTAGAACAAGTTTTACAAAACTTTAGCCAGCAGTCTGGAGCATGGCACCACTGTGTGTATTTTATGAACAACTGTTCAAATCAGTATGTCCTGATGTATGCAGTTTCAGTGTTTGAGGTTGGTGAAAAAGATTTTTGTTTGTTACCCATTTGCATGTATACAAGCAGTAGCCAAAGCTTGCCTTTTAAAGTTCCCCTGAGTTGAGGAAATGTGTCTTTTTTCTCAACAATTGATCACAATTTTATTCTTAAAAAATGCACCATGCAAATTGTTAAATTCAATTTCATTTGCAAGTCTGTTTTTTCTTGATAATTTCATCCTCTTTGTGGCAATGGGGACAACATGATTATACCAAAAGTTGTTGCTAAGAAAGCAGACCTTTTGTTAGTTAAAGGGCAGACACTTAAATGATACATTTTGGCAAACATTAAAGGAAAAATTGATTGAGGGAAAAATCAGCAATTTATTTCTTCAAGGAGACTAAAAACTTTATAGAAAGCATCCCATAGTATGATTTTAAACCGACAGCATTACGGAATAGCCATAAAAAACAGAGAACACATCGATTTTTACTCTATTTTTCTAAAAAAAAAGACTAATTGAATTGTACATCACAAATGATCAAATCATGTTAAGGAATAAATGAAATAATGAGGATAGGATAATGATTTGATTTCTGTATTTTTAGAATCTCATCAATAAACAATGGATAGGAACACAAGCAGGAGATAAGGCTGAGGTCCGTCAGTTTCTTAATGATTATCTCTTGTCATATCACAAGAAGCTGCCATCTTACATCAGAAACAAGCTTATAAAAGTTATTGTTGATGTTGGAAGAGTTGATTGGCCACATTTCTATCCAAACTTTTTCTCAAATATTATTGAGGTAAGTCTTTAACTTTTCCCTTGTTCTATGGAAGGAAAATCACTCTCTAACTTCTCACTGTCTGAACATTCAAAATAATGGTAAACTGAGTCGCCAAGTTTACCTTTTTTATTTTCACCCCCTCACTTAGATAGATCCCTTCTGAAGGTTTTTTCCCATTTAAAAACTGAAAATGAAATTTTAACCCCTAGATTGTAAGCAGCTACATTTAGTAACCCTTTGCACCGTAGCGTCATTGCTTCAGTTTGCATAATCTCTGCACTGCAGTAAATGATTTGAACACATGGGTAACATGTGAAAGTGTAGTGACAACCTGTACAAAAGTCATCATCAGAGTCAAGTGAATAGTTGTTGTCAGTAGAATGTTCACTATTCATTGATTCTGATGATGACTTCTGGGCAGGTTGTCAAAACATCAGTCACCACCCCCAACAACAGTCCTTCTCAGGACTACACTCACCTGGATGATCGCACTACACCTTCACAATCTTCATACTGTTCTCTATACATTACTTGAGGTGCTGACCAAGGAGGTTTGTTTTACAATCAAGAGCTTTTTTAGTTGGTGATCATTTCTTTTATTCTTGTGACCCTAATGGGTGATTCAGGGGTAATGCTGTAAGGAGAAATTATATGTTAGTCAAATGGTTAAAGCTTCTTACACACATATACAGTGTACATATTAATTTTACTTCCTTCACACTAAAATTAAAGAGTTAAAGTACACTGTACCACCCTGGCCTCGAGGATGAACCATTGCCAAGAATTAGATTATCAAACAGTCATGTTGTATTTCTCATTGATACATGTATTTCATTCACCTTATTAAGAAGAAATAACCCCTTCATTCGGTGACTTTCATGTAGCCAAAGTTTAGCATCTTCCTGAGATATACTCAATGTTGTTGATCTTTGTATCACACCTACTGCCTCCCTGTTAGCTCAATTGGTAGAGCACCGGACTGTTGTGTGGGAGGTCGTGAGTTCAAGTCCGGCTGGACCAACACTCAGGGTCTTAAAAATTAATAACTGAGAAGAAAGTGCTGCCTTTGTAATAATATCTGCAAATGGTTAGACTTTCTAGTCTTCTTGGATAGGGACGATAAATGGAGGTCCTGTCTCCTGCAGGGTTGGGGTTGGAGACATTAATTTCCCACACACGAGATTACTGTGTGATGGATGTCCTCCCCGGGGTGGGATGGGTGGGTAAAAAAGGGGTTAGGTGTCAATTGGAATGAAAATTCTGTTCCTTTCTCCTGCCATTCCTGTGGCAAATGAATTAAACTTAAACATAACCTGAGTGCATGTGATAGCTGTCCAACAAGTTTTGTGGAGCCTAATTAACAGGGTGTTTGACAACAGAGTGTAACTGGCAGGGGTTCAAATTTGTATTTATACCCTGCAAGTAACAAATTTTCATTATTTTTTTTACAGTTGCTCCAGCAACCTTCAACAGTGGCATTAGGCTTGCTCATGCTTCAGACAACATCAGAAGAATTAGCCTCACCCAGGGAGGATTTGAGTATTGCTAGAAAGACTGAAGTACACAGACTTTTGCTCAATGATGTTCCTGGCATCCTCTCTCTATTGACTCATTTATTGGACAGAGTCCTAGAAAAACACCGTCGACTTGCAACAACAGTTACCCCACCTCCTTCTCCTACTCATGGAATATCACCAGCCAGGAGTTCTAGTCCTACAGTGTCTGGATCAAGTTCATTATCAATGTTTACTTCATCGCCCTCGGCAGATCAGTCACTCCAACATGCAGGGAGTAGTAATCTCATGGGACGATTATTTAGTAATTCACCAATGAAATCTAGACAGAATTTAGGACATCCACTGCCACCTTTGGAATTGGAATCTGAAGAGATCAGTTCTCTAGTACTTAAATGTTTAGCACATCTGTTTAGCTGGATCCCTCTGTCTTCTACCATTACACCTTCACTTGTGTCTACTGTGTTTTATCTTGCGGAGTTTGGCTGCAGTGTAGTTCCATCCAGCTCTGGAGGCAGTGTTGTCAGTAATGCGGAACTAGGTGAGAAATAATGTACTGCCTTGACCTTTTCTTGTTACTGCAGACATAACTGCTGAGTAAAGTAACTGAAAGCTTCAACTCTGGGGCTAAGTGATAGAACTCAGTTGACCATTGAACTCTCGTGAGTGACCAAGACAGAAACTCTCCTTACAATATCAACACAATAACAACTAGAGAAGTGATGAGAATACAGAAAAGTGTAAAATAGGGGATTATTGGTTGATCCATTACCAAATTCTCTGAACTGACATTATAAGAATTGTATGTCAAACAGTAAGGGGAAGTACTAAAGAGATCTAGGGAGTGGAACGATTAATTATCCACAGAGACATCCAAGTCCGTGGGAGTATTCGGTTCTTTTCTTGTGTGCTTATTTTCCTAAAAGTCCTCATTATTTAGACCAAAAATTGTCATTCCTTCCCAAGTCATACTTGCTTATGAAATGGAACAACAAAGTGTATTATATAACAATGAAGCAATTGGCCTGTTGTGTTTTGTTTTCTCTAGGTGTCTCAGCAATGACTTGTATTAATGAACTGTTGTCTAAGAATTGTGTGCCTGTAGAATTTGAGGAGTTCTTGCTGAAGTTGTTTCAGCAAACATTTCAGCTGTTACAGAGAATAACAAAGGATACAGGTGCTCAAGCAGTGGAAAATCTTCTCACAGAACAAGATGAAAGGTGAGGCTATGAAACTTATTATGTAGACATGTAGAGCCATGCCTCCCCCTTAGCTATTTGTCATGCCATTTTCATTCCTCCCCTCTCCTCTCCCCCTTTTCTAGCATTTATGTCATGTTGCTTTAACAAGAAAGGTAATAGGGTCTTGTCCAAACACATTACACTGCAAAGAGCCTGCATGACCAGATCAGATCCACTGATGCTTTTATTATCAAGAAAATGCATGGCCCCCTCGCACTGATCCAACCAGCATACTGCACTTTGATGGAACTGTTTAATGATAACCTTAATGATTTTTGAGGGGCAAAAGCAACCTACATGTACTTGTAAAAAAATTACCCCTTGATTTTATAGAAGTCAGTGGCAATGAGGCTAGATTTCTGTTTTCTGTAAATTTATACAAATTTTCTAACGTGCCTGTCTTACTCAATTTTTTTTCAGTTACTTGAATAAATTTACTGAGTTTTTGAGACTTTTTGTGAGTATACACTTGAGAAGATTTGAAAATAGTTCCCATTTCCCAGTTCTTGAGCTGTTGACATTACTCTTCAAATATACTTTCAAACAGGTCAGTAAATAAAAGAATTTAATTTTCTTTCTATGAAATTTGGTTTCCCTATTTATACTGTAGATTAAAGATAAATCTTTTATGCTGTGAAAGCATAATTTTTAAAATGAATCTCCTGCAACATTTCTGGGCTTTTTGGGAGATGAGTAGATGAAGGGATAAAGAAGCTTTCTCAAACACTTTAAACCCATTAAGTCCCAGAAGTGATTAAAATGAAACTTCTCCTTCTAATATCCATGCATGATCCAGCAAACAGGTAATGAGAATACTCAAACTTATCAGGTAGGAGGAGGTGTTACTGGGATCTAACATCAAATTCTCATAACTAATTTACAAGGTAACGTGTAGCAGCTCGAGGGGAGAATTAACAATCAAATCTTGGGAGTTAAAGGGTGAAGACACTTTTTACATGTGTAGCAGTTAAATTAAATTATCTTTTTTCCTGGTTTTCAATTTCTTCTAATTGAGATGACTTATCATCATTCAGCCTCAGTTGGAAGGCTTTTTCGCCTGTTTGGACATTTGGACTGTGTTTCTAGACTACCTTATTGGAAAAGTTGCAAATGCTAGAAGTGATAAGCTTGCAGAAGCTGACGCTACTGTCAGCAGGTTTGTGTTTTGACAATCTATCATCCAACATAATGTATATATTGTATGATTACTGTTTATTACCTAGCTTTTTACAAATTCATACTTCTGATTTATGTATTTTTATTTATTTTTTCCTTATTTTACTCTTATATCAGGCAAAGAACCATATCATGGATGTACTGATATTAAACTGTTATTATTATTATTATTATTATTATTATTATTATTATTAACATACTTTTGGGAATTCAAACTGAATAAGTACTGAGCTGCACTCTTTCAAATGAGATAATACCTCATAAAAGTTATAAGCTTTTTTAATGTTTTACTACCTTTTAAGTCACAGGGACATGAAGACACATTTGTAGCTCCTTAAAATTGATCACCTCCTAACACGTTCAAATGGATTATGTTTTTTACAATTAACTTACGATCACTCCAACAATCTATTCCTCTAAGGAGCTTTTCACTTACTTTGCGTTAAACTAAAATTGAATTTTTCAAGATCACAAAATCAACCATTGCTTTTTTCCATCAATCAGTTTATAGAATTCTCAGTTTATAATGCTATTTTATTAACCCCTGGCTATCAGCTTTTCTTTCATGTATGCCCCATAGTTGGTTTCAGGGTTTTGCCGAGGGTTTTGTCTTGTAAGTTACTAGAAACAAACAAGTTATGTACTTCTGTTTTTAGGTATAAGGAAGTGTTGCTGATGTTGATAACTGAGCTGCTGAAGAAAATTCAATTCCGACATAATCGAAAGCAACTTGAGGAGTTGGATGATGAAACGCTAGATGATGATGTAAGTTGACATTGTATTATTTTTTATTAAACATTTGTATAAGAAATCAGTTGCTTAAACTATTTCATATTTCTGACTTTTACTAAACAAAGAGTCTTGAAAGAAAAGAAACTATCAGTATCAAAAGTGCTCTTTTAATTTCTGTGAGGATAATAAATGCAGTAAAAGAGACAGGAACTGTGTGGAGAACACAATTTGTGAGGTCAAGCCTTGTGAGTTTACCTCTAAAATGTTTAAGGGTAGACTATTCATTTTAATGTAATTTCATTTTGACAAATATTTTTACTGTAAGATACAATTGAGTTTTTTTTTTTTAATTCAAGTCTGAAACAGAGTGGCAAGCATTTCAAAGAAACTGCCTTGAAATTGTCGCTAAGTTAGCAGAACTCCTTCCTGGAGAGACATTCTCACTGCTGGTAAGAAGCTATTCATTTTGTTTTCTGTCTCTAAGGACAAGTGCTATAAGATTAAAAGTTTTGCATCCTTTACCAGAAAGTTAAATTTTCCATCTACATGTAGTTAATCTTTTGCTCTCTTTTATTGTTTTAGTTCCCTCTATTTAGTGAATATTGTGATGTGTACATTGGTCTTGGAGACTATGTCACCAAAACTGCACATGGTAAGATTGGTTGTTGATGTCACAGAAATGTTGCTGTTAGGAAACAGGGAAGAAATTTACATAAGTAAAAGGCAGTTTTCAGTGATGATTACTACTTCTCAAAAGTACCATGGTGGATGCTGTAACAGTCTTGGATAACTCATAGATGATCCAACTACCTTTGCAAAACGACCTCAAATAGTATCAAGAAACAGTTAGATCTTCAAATCAATTTAAGCAAAATGTTGTTGGGAATTAAGAAAAACTATTGATAAGGGATGTTGTTGGATTAAACACCAAATTCTTAAAGTTAAAATTATAATAAGAAAGGTATGGAAAACAAGGTAGAGAATCAACGTTTGGATCTTGGGAGTGATTGGGTGAATTTTTACATTTTCTTTTGTCTTCAGGCCTGCAACTAGGGATCAGTGGTGAAAATGAATGTCTTCAATTGCACTGTACACTCCGAGACTTGTCCACCATGGAGCGTGCACTGGGACGACTGTCAGAACACTTTATTGGTGAAGTGAATTTTGCCAACAGATTTAGTGATGGGGAGGCTATTGTTGAAAGACTTGGACAGATTGCACTGTTTGGCACACAAAGTCAGTTGTTTGCAGCTCATACAGCCATGCCTAATGTTCTTCAACCCGACCTCATTGAAGTGTAAGACAATGCAGTTTATTAAACCATGAAATGAAAAGTTTGTTCTGGTTGATAGCTTACCACTAGCGTTTTGTCAGAGCTCCCCTTATAGGTCACTGTTAGACATGTATTTTCTTGGTTTGAGAGAGACTGGGTTTTAAGAATAAACTGACTGGACTTAGAGCAGAGTACAATAACCCCAGGGATGGCTTCAACTCAAACGTTTTGTTCTTTAGTCCAGGACAGTTGTCCAGATTTTAGCCTAATTTGGACAGAACAGGACAGGCCACTTCTGAGCCAGATACCTCTCCGACACAGTTCCTCTCTGTAGCCAGACATAGACTAGACTTCCTTTCACAGCCATTTTAGCTTGTGTGCAGACGTAATGTTTTACTGTATTTAACTAGTTTCTTTGACTCTTTAAGCCACGCCCAAGGACTTGCTGCATTTCAAGCTTACTGTCACTGGATGGCGCAGTATTACTTGGAAACCTACAGACAACAACAGCATCAAGAAAAGTTTGTGACGCTTGTCTCAAATGCAATTGATTCTCTGGTTCCTTTGATAAACAAGGAAGTAAGTTGCTGTTGCTTTGTCTTGTTATTTGTGTACCATATGTTTGTTATAGCTGGCCACCTTGTGTAAGTTTTCACCGGTACCGTGGAAGACAGTACCAAAAAACAACTCAAACAAGCAATTCATCTTTTCCTTAGGTTCCTCAAAGGGTTTCGTTACCAGCTTCCCATCTTCTCAACTCATTAGCAACAACAGTTCGTCCATCATTTATGACTGCCCTGGATAAAGTACAGAAGCTCTTCCATGATGTTAACAGTGGTTCATTATCTGACTTGCCACTTGAGGTGCAAATTACATAGTCCTTATTGTTATTAGTGTTTTAACTTACTTTAAAGGTTTTCTCTAGTGTAAAAGCGTTGTTAATTTCTCCCCAACAGGTCCAGACCTTAGTTATACGGTCTTTGTCAAATGCTTTGGTGTTACCTTGGCCAAATAAAGCTGATAATGAACAGGTAAGGATCGAAGTTAATGAAGATTTCAAATGGAGCATAATTACCACAAGCACTCAGACTAAGTATTTTGTTTTTATTACCCTTGCTATTATTTAAGTTTTACTAAGGTGAATGACATTCGATGGAAAACAGCTCTGTTACGTGGTTTGTATTGGCAAGGTGAAGCACCAAAAGACGATACCTTTGAAATACTTTAAGTCTGTAGTTTAAATACTGAACTTTCTGGTTTCGTTTTTGTCAAGGAATGGGAAGTTCGCTCTCAAAGTCATCACACCTTAATGCAGAGCATCAAACAACCTTTAAAAAGTATCGTGGAAACACCAGGTTTCTCTGGAAACAAACAGCTACAGGAAAGTGGTAAGTAAAGTTTGCACCTCAACTACTCGATAGGGGACAGTGGGTCTAATAAGTGGTTAGGCAGAGGCATACCAAAACAATTCGTACTATAACACTTAAAAATAGAGCCGTTTACTAGAAATGCTTGCAAAGACCCGTCAAAAAAATTGTAAATGAAGCTCTTACTTTTCTTCAGACTCTTAAGTCACTTGCTGTCTCATGATACACCTCTCAATTTTAGGAAAATTATTGATAGTGTTATTGCATCTCACTTGTTAAATAAATGATCGATTTATGAACAGCCAAGCCTCTTCTTCACTTCACCCTACACGTGCTGGCTGATTTGATGTCTGCCGCAACAGAAGACCAGGTTACCAAGACCAAACTCATTCTGTACCAGTCCATCTCAGATGTAGTTCAAATCACAATTACTATTTTTCCGGTGTATATCCACTATCCAGGTAAGTGAGAAAAAAACTAAGGTATTTTTACTCGTTAGCAGTGCAGGTAGACAACTTGAAATTTGTAACTGTCAGTTCGGCAAAGTACAGTTTAATGAAGTGCTTATAAATCAGCTATCAATACATTTATGGTTACTCATATTACAGATACAACTGATGAGATTCTAGGCTTCCTTCTGACGTTGTTCGAGAGTTTGAAGGTTCAACTTGGTCCAGCGGTGACGGAACAGATCGTTCAACCACTGCTTCACACCTTCACCCGCCAGCAGTTGTCCGAAACACTGCATCACGAGAGTACAGCCGGCTCGCGCGTCATCAACAACTTCTTGAAAATCCTGCAGCTGTTGGTGCAAGAACCTGCTGCATCCTTCAAGGCTTTTCTCCCTAATATTATCGGATTATGTATGGAGCAGTTGTATCCAATTTTGGCTGAGGTAAATTTTTCTTTTTCCCTCTCTTTAGTTTTTGCATACACTTCAGGCAAACGAAGATGCTTGGGAATCTTCTCTTCTTAACCCTCTAGTTAACCTTTTCACAATCTCGATCTAAGACGTAACGTCTCATTTCATGACAAAGAAACCGTTATGATGATGATACTGATCGATTCCTTTTTTTCTCTCTTTTTCTTCAGCAACCATGCCCCGACATAAAATGCGAATTTTACGAGTTACTCCATCAATTACTACTGCACAACTGGCGTTACTTTTTCCGTGCATCTCTGCTGGCCAAAATGTCGATGGCAGAAGAGACTGTGGAGAACCAGGCTCAGTTTAACTCCATAATGCAGGTTTGCAACAGACTTGATCCTTGCTTTAACTTTGGTGCTTTTAGTATGGTGTAAATTCACATAAGAGTTGTCCTATCTCTTTCATCAATTAACTTTAGTTTCCGCTGCACTGTCGGATTAAAAATAATGTGGAAAAACTATTTTTGTCTTATTAAGCACGTACACTGGTATATAAAATTAGTGCTGCTTTCTTAACCAAGGAGATGAAAAGCAAAAACCAGATGCGGTTTTTTACACGCCTTTTTTTTTTTTTTTTCCTCAAGGGGACGTTAGAATTAATTTACTTCCAGTCGTAAATTTTATTTGCTTTGTGGGTCCTTGTAATCAGTTTGTTTATGGTTGTACTAAATGGGTGAAACTTTCTTAATTTTACTGCTCGTTTGATTTAGTAAGCACCCTTAAAGCGATTTATGATCCTCTGATGTATTTGTGGTTTTACTTTAGGCCTTTGGACAGTCTTTTCTTCAACCAGACATTACAGTATTCAAGCAGAACATTGAAGCATTAGAAAATCTCAACTCCAAGTGTAAACTTTATCAAAAGGTTTGTCCTGTTCACCCCTCTGGCAGACCCTCTCGAACTTCCGCACAAGCTTTATTACTGTTGTTTGAATTCCTCACGCTTATCTTTCTGAAGAACAGACAAGCCCGTTGCTGTTCTGGCACGATTTTACTCTTAGCGATAAAGTTATCATATCTTTCAATGTTAATAGAGCTCCAACTCATCCCCAAGACCTCTAAGGAAATATCGTTTGGTTGAAAACAAGATTATAATAATTAAAACTATATGAAATTTATGGCACACACGGCAGAGAATTGATATTTACGTCGCGGGTATGAAACTCATAAGTGACAGATTTTTTAGCGCTTACTTCAAATTTAAACTTCTCAGAATGACAACAACTGTTAGATTGTATTCCTCAGAAATAACAACCCTTTTCTTTCTCCTTTGTCAGCGCATCTTTAAAGAAAGCATGCTTCTTCAGTTCGTGAACGTCTTCCTTCAAGCGCTAGTTTTTAGGTCACATGATCTGTTACAAGAAGAGATCACGATTACTCTGTACAATATGGCGGCTGTGGACTTTGACTCGTTTTACTCAGCGTTCTTGCCTCAGTTTCTTGGTGGCTGTGAAGGGCTTACCGACTCACAGAAGACTGAGTTGGGAAACAATTTCACACCCGATAAGGTAGGTACAACAAAAGGTTATAAACAGACACAGTGAGTGATAGAGCAGGGGCGAATCCTAGAATTTCTTATAGGGTGGGTCTAATCCTCGACTCGGAAAAGGTAGAAAGTTTCTTTTTTCGCAGTATAACCAGAATAAGCCAAGAAATTCTTATTGAGTAGTGACATGACCGCCTCCCGGTTAGCTCAATTGGTTAGAGTGCCGGATTGTGTTGTGCGGGAGGTCGAGGGTTTGAGCCCCGGCCGGACCAATACTCATGCTCTTAAAATAAGTGAGGAGAATTTGCTACCTTTCTATAATCAAGAAATGGATAGATATTCTAGTCTTCTCGGATAAGGACGAATAAACCGTAGGCCCCGTCTCCTGCAGGGTTAGGGGTAGGAGACGTTAATTCCCCACGCACGAGATTACTGTGTGGTGGATGTCCTTCCTTTGGGTGAGATGGGTGAGTGTTGGCCCTGAAAAGCCCCTATGGGGAGGGTCAATTAACCTATGTATGTATGTATGTATGTCTGTATGTCTGTCTGTCTGTATGTATGTATGTCTGTCTGTATGTATGTATGTGTGTATGTGTGTATGTGCATGCGATGTTGTCATTGTAGTTAGAAAAACCATCTGTCTAATGGTTCGACCTTTTATTTTTTTACCAATCTGCTGGTCTGCTGCTGTCCTAATTTTACGAAGAGAAAAATGTTGGCTTAGGGACGGTTATGATTTATTATTGGAGCGGGGGGGGGAGTCGGAAAAGTTTATCTGTGTCGAGATAAAATTTATCTTCCCCCCCCCCCC